CGCTTCGCTTTACTTGTTGTTTTTTCTGCAGATACAGAAATAACTCGTGAATTTTGCGGAGCGTGTACTTTTTGATGCGGCGAGCTCATTGTGCCAGCTCATCTTACCAGAGTGCATCGTGCGCTATTGTTCACGTCATTGTGCCAGACGAAAATTTGCTCTGAAGCCAGAGGTTTCTTTTCCTGCAAAATTCGTATGTAACGATACCCCACAGTCGTTGTGGATGCTGTCCCTATTGACCCATGCTATGTCTGGAGCACGTCTGTCAGCTTGCCGCTCTTACCTCTGGTCAACGGCAAAATTATCATTAACCTGCCTTAATACTCATACAACACTCAAGGGAGGGTACCTAACCAACAACCAAAACATTTGATCTTTTGATCAGGAAAGATATAAATCAATCTGAAAAAAAGGAATGAAAAATTGACTCTTATTCGATCCGGAAATAAAATATAAAAAGTCATTTTATGTTTTTTTAAACTGTTTTCGGTCTTTTTGGGTTTTTTAATGTTTTTTGTACTTTTTCGCTTTGCAAAATTTTTGTTTTTAGCTTTTTCTTAGTTATGCACTATTTTTGTTTATTTTTACGCGTTATCATTAATTGTTTTTGTTCTCAGAGCCTTGGGAGAAATGGCCTGATGACTTTTATTCTAAGCCTTCGATCCCCAAAATTTGCAATCTCAACTAGGTTAATATCTAACTTTTACTAGTCGGAGGGTCCGAACCATCCGTCTAGTACAAAACAAAAAATAAAAACTACTATGGAACAATCACTCAGTAATTTTTTACAGAGCGTAGAAAAAAGATCTATTGACGACTGGCTGACGTAAGTTATCTTAATTCTACTCATTTTTAACCCTCTTGACCTAGCCAGTTGTCTTTCTGGTCTGCTTAAGGGCTAATATCATGTTATCAATTTTAGGCCATCAGCCAAATTACTTTCGATCAGTTTTCGTTTACATGTGAAAATAACCTCAAAGCTGGATCTCGGATCACTTGACAATGTTATTATTGCTAAAAACACGGCTAGAATCCATAATTTAATATTTTTACCTAGAGTTATATATTACATCCATTGGATCTGGGTTGACTCTATCCTTGCCCCTAACTACTTATGTTCTAAAATAACAAACTAATAATGAAATAACTCTACGTTGTTATTTGTTAATTTCTGTTGCCCGGGAGGGCTCGGAGCTGTCACGGAAACCCACTTCCGATTCCTTCCACAATTAAGCTCCTTAATAACTCTTTGTGTTATAAAAAGAGGCTTCGAATCGATTCTTAAACCAATCTTCTTCGTGTCCTTAAACCTAGCTTCCTTGACACGTTGTAATCGTCAAAATGGTCGATTTTAGTATTTCTCAGAAATATTCCAGCCCCAATAGAAAAATTAAAACTTCAAATTTTCGGAAAATTCATCGCGATTAAAATGCTTAATGTCATTTTCAGCATGTATTGGAAGGTTCGGCTATGTCATCCCAGGGAATGGCACGGGCGAGATTTTAAAAAAATGTTTGATAAGAATTTTTAAATGTTGATCAACGTGGCCAAAAATCAACACGCGCGAATAATTCTGGTGCCGAGAACTCACACTTAATTTCTAGTCCATGTATAATCATGTTAATTTGGTGTGTTATTGCAGTTGTATGTTTTCAATTGGTAGAAATTTTTTAAATGTATGATTTAAATTTTCTAGTGTTTTTTCTTGATTTTGGATCATTGCTTAGAAGTTGTAAAAAAATTACCCTGATGATGGAACTTTTCGGAAAACATTCGAATTAACATTCTAAAAAAATTAATTAAGTTGGTAAATTGTAGTGAAGTGTCATGCGCCTCTGCAAGGAGCAACTGGCTGCGGCAAAAAGGGTGACATCTATCTTCCCAACGGAAAAATTGCGCAAGGTTGTAAATACGCTAGGAAGTACATACCGACGGAAAAAGGTTCTGAAACGACTGGCTAGCCTCGCCTAAACAGAGCGTCATATGCTTTTAACCGTCTCTAGCATAGCCAGCCCAATGTGATTTTCGTAACATTGGGTCAACAAAATCATTGCAACTCAAAGGCTATCGGCCCAACTGCTCAAATTAAACTACTAACTCATATGCAGAAAAAGAGCTCATGGTTGGGTCTCAGCATCCCCAGACCACGGGGTCATTCCTAAGATAGCCTTCCTGGTTCGCGAAATTTAATCTGTAACGATTGTTGCTGCACAATTGTTACAATTCCGGGGGTCTTCTCGAATCTGATAATTCCGATTTCAGCTGTTTTCTATGTCTGTCGTGCGTTTGCTATATGATTTTGACCAGCGAAAATCTTTTTTCTGATTCTCGCGCTTTTCAGTTGTCGCGAAACTTATAACTGTTACGTATCATGCACGCTCAAATCGAAAATTTAAAATAAATTCTTCGATCCAAAACGACTATTCCTAATTAGCTTTTTTTCACAATTACGATCGTTAATTTAAAAAGTCAAAAAAATGGGCCCTTCCGTCATGCGACGGTGCTTGCACAGGTTGGTTAGGGCCGTACCAACGCTATATAAATACATCGGCAAAATTTTTGAATAAATCAATTCGATATTAATGCATCAAGAGAATTGTCAATTCAAATCTACCCTCCTCGATTATAGCACAGATAGAATTGTCTATTTTGGATGTATTTTTAAGATTTTTGCACCCCCTGAGGCAGAGGACTTCACTCCTCAGAAGTGCACAAATTATTTTTGTTTTTTTGAAGTTCATTGTGCCTGAGTTTGATTCGTTCTGTTTCTCGCTGAGTTTCTCTGCTAGTTTCTGGGATGTTTCTGCAAAGCCTGGTGCTGCTCCTCCGGTACACGCAAAAGTTAGTGGAACAAAGCTGCTGTGATCCACATCCAGAATTCTTTGTTGGTATTTTAATGTTTTGACACTCTCATGATATTTGTAGATGTCAGATATAGTTTTAGGGCAGGAATTAGCATAGGGGTTGAAAATTTTTACATCGAAAAAAGTTCGCCTGAATCGACCTCCCCAGAGTCCATTTGCCTTGATGTCAAGTCGAGCGTCATCTTCAATAGTGGTTGTTTTGTTGTGAAGGTTTTCGCCTTCCAACGATTGAAGTTTCAGCTCTATTTCAACATCATGGCATAGTTCGTCCGGGAGTGTCGCATAGGTATCGCGAATTTCCTTATGTTTTAGGTGAGTGTATCCACCTTTGGGCCAGTGTAGAGAGTGGGTCAGTGTGAGCGGTTGTCCACATGGGCATGTATGTGCGGTGTTTAGTGGTTCCCATCCATATCTCATGTGTAATCCATCTTTAAACTCTGATTTGTTGAGGGAAAAATTGTATTCTTTTTAAGAGCAGCACGCTTAGCCAATTTGATGCTCCTTTCTGTGACGCTAGATTTATTGTCAGATTTTTTTTCTGATGAGCAATTTTCCATAACTTTAGCCTTTTTGGAGAGTGTGATTTTCCGTCTCTCAGTTTTCATGTTTTTAATTATCTGAGTTTGTTCCGTTTCAGCTGTTTCTGGATCACTGTTTTCTAACGAATCTCAAATGGCTTGTGACCACTCATAATTTCTGGAAAAGTCCGTCTTACTGAGGAGGTGCAAATCTCCAATTGTTAGTAGTTGTGCAAAAAGGTTGCAATCTTCATCGGTTATATGGTTTTTACTAGTAATACTAGGAAGTAGTTTCTGTCTTACGTTTTTCTCATTTTCATCCATTTTCTCAAATGAGTTATTGTGGTTAAAAATTTAAGTTATTTTGAACTCCCTTTGTGTAGCAGGAGTACGCTTCTGTGGTGATGTACCAGCTATTTTGGAAACCTTTTCATTTAGCATAGCTGTCTTTTCACTTTCGCTTTCCATGTATTTATCGCAGGTTGATGGTGTTCCTATAACCGATCCAAGGACCCTAAAACCGTCTATCATTGTATTATTTGTGCCTTCAAATACTTTAATGGCGCTGTCACGATGGTTTTCTTTTTCTATGAGTTGACACTTTGAAGGCTTCACATTGTATCCGAAAGCCATTCCGAGCACATCTAGGTTGTCCAGTAGTGCGCGGAGACTCTTAAGATCACCTGCAGCGCGTCTATCATCTGCGTACCATTTTTGGGTGACATTTGATTTATGCAGGAGTTCAACTAGTGGGTTTATCCCAATTCCGTACATAGCCATTGCGGAGGGATCACCTTGCGTTGTGCCTCCTGTAGATAACAAAACCGTGTTATTGACATATAGATTTGAGTGATGTTTATATGAATTGGCCTGCGCATGATGTAGTGCCGGACAAAGCAAGTTCTCTATTGAGCGAGTTGAAGGCATTTTCTGCATCAATAAGTAGTATGGCCCCGTTTCCGGTTTCTCGTTCCTCAAGCTGTGGATAGCGTATTCGATTCCACACTTCTGGCCTAAGCAGAGTAGGAAAATTTTTCCGAGATTTTTATGGTCTGATTTTATACATTGGGTGATTGTTTTGCCAATTATTCTTCTCAGAACTTCACCTATACCAATGGGCCGTACCCCTGCATTTCGTCCAGAGGTATCAGGCGACACGAGTTGTGCGCCGTTAGGTTTTCATGGCGGAGAACTTTACTTGCTATTGTATAGGGTAGTTTAGCAATTGTTTTGCAAAGCTCAATGGATGTCTGCTTTAAGTGAGTTATCATCCTTCTCCATTCGCACGCATCCAGACCTGAGGGACCGTGGCTTCTTGGCCTACCGTACGGTCATTTTCCGATAAGGTAAAAATTCGTTTTCCCGCATCAATTTTGACTGCGTTCTGGTCGAATGGCAGAAGGTTGAAAGGTGGTTGCTGGGCTGGGGCTGGAGGCTAATACAAAAGGGCAATTACTTAGGTTCTGATAATTGCTGACCATGTGATGTATTTCAGTGAAATTTAAAAAAAATCGGTGAATTTGGAACAGTGACTTACTTGCACAGCAAAGTGCTATCCTTACTTTTTCTAGGAACGGAGTTTTTTTTTATTGAAAAGGATAATGCTGTATGATTTTTCAGGTTAATTTGATCATGGGTAACATCCACACTGTAGGACCGAATCAAGCAGTAGTGGTGTCAGGTAAGATCTTTCAACAAGCTACGGAAATACCTCAATGACTTCAAATTGATAGCTCAGTTTAGTGAGTAGTTCCTAACGCTCCTTGGTTAAATAAAAGACCTTCTCAATTTTCATGTTTATAGGTGGCTGCTGTGGATCACAGAAAAAGAAGACAGTTATCGGTGGATGGGCTTGGGCATGGGCATGTGTCACGGATGTTCAGAGGATCTCTCTGGAAGTGATGACGCTCAATCCAGTATGTGAGAAAGTGGAAACAGCTCACGGAGTACCCCTATCTGTCACTGGTGTAGCACAGGTTATTCTTGTCATGATGTTTCAAAAGATTATTTGTCAACCAAACTAGAAACCGAAGTAAAGCAAACCAAAAGTTGCGCCAATAGAAAAGATAATTTTGTTCAAAAACATCTTTTTTGAAATGTTTTGTAATGCGTCATTCTTTATGAGAATGAATCTTTATTTGATTGCAGGTAAAAATAATGACAAAAGAACAGTTTCTGGCGATTGCATGTGAACAGTTTCTTGGCAAGTCAACTGAGGAGATCTCACAAATCATTCTGCAGACACTTGAAGGACATCTGAGAGCTATTCTAGGTAATTGATAACTTGATTGTTAAAGTCATATCCATCAATTGGACCAAGTTAACATCCCCCCACCAAATGGACCATAAAAACTACCCCCAGACATAAAAACTCATTGAAATAAGCAAACATTATCGAAACGGTTATTCAGCCGATTGAACCGATCTCGCCACCTACATTCTTGAAGATACCAGTGCAAAAAAGCCTGATGACATCAAGCTTTTTTATCAAAGTTTTTTGGTAATCCAATTCGATTCAACGTCTCTTTCCACAAATTTAATCGAATGATTGAAGGTCCCGTGGGTACATCTCTTTACTGCAGGACTGCAGCACCCGTATGCCTGCCCTTCATCAGAATGAACAATTGGGCCCTTTTCGACAACTGATTGAACATTGTTTAACAAAATTTCGGTATCTCGGTGGCTCACAATTTCCATAGGTGCAACCGACGGCTTGAAACTCGTGTCCGCAATGCCGAATATCCAATTTTTTTTCTTCGGGCGCCCTTGCACAGTGATTTTTCGGCTTGTGAGAGAAGGAACTTTCGGTAACGAATTGAGTGTTTTTTAAGCAACGCGAACAAAGTATTCTAAATCAAGCAAAGACATTAACAGTACTGGTTTTTGATGTGCCAGTTTGAAGGGAAGTTTGCTTATTTGATGTTCGGATGCTGCAAAGATAAAAAATATGCAACCATTTGGGGAAACGTGACTTTTTCAAAAAATTAGTTTTTGGATAGAAATAGCCCGTTTATAGAGGATTATTTGGCATTTCCAGGCATATTCATAAGAAGTTTTTAATATTTCGTCCTGTGCATAGCCTTTTTGCAGTTGGGGAGTTTTGTTGTCAATTTTATGACCCAAGAGTTTTAAGTTTGTGTATACAAAGTTCAATATTTTTCAAAAAAGAGATTCTTCTCCTTGAAACTCATGGAGCAATCGGTTAAATCAGCGGTCAACTATTTGCCACATTGTTTGAACAAATTTTGATTTGCATGCTTAATTCTGATTGGTCAAAAATTAGCGTTCATCTATCTATCTATACTATATTTAAATGCGAGTGACAGCTATCTCCCATGTTTAAGCATAATAATTTTGCAATTTTGTAATTTTCATGAATCTATTATATATTTAAATGCGGGCTTCACTATCTCGCCATGTTAAGGCTTTTTCAACGTATTATTTTTGCATGTTTAACAAAAAATTTTTTTCACGTTTAAGCTGCTAAGCTGCATCATATATTGCTATGGCTTAGGTTTTTTTTCAAGTTTTAATTCAGTGTTTATTTCATCAAGTTTGAAATTAGCAACCTAATAGTGGGATGTCAGAGTTTCTCCAGGTTTTGCGATTCTGGCCTTCATATATGAATAATCAAATCCTTTGTTTTCGAGATTTTTCAAAAATTTCTAGAAAAATTAATTTTAAAGTTTCTCAATTTTTGAGATTCTCACCCTGTATTAGGTGCTGTCAGGGTACTCTCAGGGGTAGCGAATCTTGCCTCCAAATCTCACTTCTCAAATCTTTGTAGTTTCCGAGATATGACGTTTTTTCTATGATTTTTCAAAACCTAAATTTTTAAAAATTCCAAAACTTCGAAGATCTCAATCCTGTTATTGGAATCTGTGAGGTTACTCTCAGGAGTTGCGGATTTTGCCTTCAAATATGACTGCTCAAGTTTTGCAGTTTTCCAGATATGGTGTTTTGTGTGATTTTTTTTCAAAAAATTTTCATGATAATCAAATTAATTTTTTTTCAAAGTTTGAAATTCCTAACTTGTAGTTGGGGGCAGTCAGAGTAATCTCAGGGGTTGCAAATTCGGACTCCAATTAAGAATGCCCAAATTTTTTTAGTTCTAGATATAAGACAAATTTTGTGATTTTTTCGAAAGTTTTCAGAAAACTCAAATTACAAATAATTCACTAAAGTGAAATTCCCAACCCTGTAGTTGTGTGCTGTCAGAGTACTTTGAAAGATTGCAAATGTTGCCATCAAGCAAGACTGCTGAAATCTTGGTAGTTTTCGAGATGTGAAATTTTTTTGGTTCTTAAAAAATACCTTTTTAGAAAACTTAATTTGAAATTTCTCAAAATTTGAATTTCCCATCGTTGTAGTTGCGGTACTATAAGAGTACTCTCAAAAGTTGCAAATCTTGCGTCCAAAAGCGACTGCTTGATTGCTTTTAGTTTCCCAAAGTGATTTTTCTCAGTTAATTTTGAATTTTTTGAAGAACTTCTATAAAAATGCACAAAATTTTATGGTTCTTCAAAATTTGTATAAAAAACCCGAATAAAAAACTTTGCAAAATTTGTAATTACGAACTTTGTAATTGGGTGCTGTCAGAGTATAATCAAAGAATGCAGATCTTAATTCCAATATATGCGGTTTGTTATAAGTACCGGAGGTGCGTTACACAACTAGTTTGATCTGAAACCAAGTGAATATCTTGCCATCTAAACGGGATCGGGGGAGGTAGTTGATTTGATCCGATCTATCTTATCATTATTTACTGAAGTTTCACATGACACATATGTTTAAGAAGTCCTTATGTTAACATGTTAAAATCTCAATATCTTGCCTGGCTTAATGTTTTTGAGAGTTCAACGTTTTAAAACATTATACAATTGTTGAACTGAAGTCCGTCTTTTTATCCATACGAACAATTAAATTTCCAAGGTCATATACGGTTTTAACCATACATCTGTTGGATCATTAACAGTATTTTCCTTCTTTCACAACGCGAGCTTTTTTAAAACTTTTTTTTCAGTGTTTATTTAATAGAATTTATTATATCTGCGGAGGGCTGCTTTCAGCGTTTGCCGAGAGAGTACAATTTTGGCTTTGAAATCTCAATTTCTTTAGCTTACGAAGATATGAGGATTATTGTGATTTTAAAAGTTTCCAGAAACTTAGCTCAAATAATGAAAGTATCAATCCTATAGTGGGATAAAGTCAGGGGTGATAGACGTTGCCTCCAAATGTGACTGCTCAAATCATATTGACAAGATATGACGTTTTTTAAATTAATTTTCTCAATTTTTTGAAGACACTAATTTAAAATTTATCAAAATTTGAAATTCGTAACCGTATGGCAGGGTGCTGTCAGGGTACTCTCAAGTCTGGCCCCCAATTATGACGACTGCTCAAATTCTTTTGGTATTCGAGATTTGGAGTTAATGATTTTTTCAATTTCAAAAAATGCTTCAAAAAACTGAATAAAATACTTCTCAGAATTGAAAATCTCGACGCTTTAATGGGGTGATTTCAAGTTACATTCTCAGCCCTATTGTTGAATGCAATCAGCTCAATGTTTTTTTTGAACAGCCGAGTTGAATGAAGCTTTTATGATTTTCTTAAAAGTTTCCTTAAACGTAGATATGAAAAAATACGTCAATTTGAACTTTTCATCCCTTTGTTATGTTGCTTTCAGGGTACTCTTAGGTTTGCAAATGTGGCTTCTTTTTGATTTTCTTAAAATTTTTATTATCCGGGATTGATTGATGATAAATGAAAAAATCTGATTAGATGAACATGTTAGATGGCTCCGTATTTTTGAGGGTTGCATTAAGTTATATTTTGTATTTTCGTAAGGAATCTCTTTTCATGTTCAACAATCTTTCGAAGAACCCTGGGTGCGAGTCTTGCGCTAGTTAGCTTTAATCGCTTTACGTTCAAATTACGGTTGTGCAGAATAAATAATGTATAACGTTCTATTTGACTTTTCAATATAAATTTTGTTTGGCCTAGTTGCGCTGGTCTTGTTAGTAGTCAAGCTTAGCGTGTTCCTAGACGTGGCTACCAAGCAAAATATACCCCCGCCCCTAAAGTAAATAACATCACAGTGTTGAGGGGCTGTAGCTTCTTGTGTTATTTGGCTGGGAAGGCTATAATGGGAAACACTCAAGTTTAATGCTATCAAAGTTTTAAATATGACAAAAAATCGTAAAAAAAACTCAGAAAAGGTGAAAAAAAAATCGATCGATATGAGCCTTTTTATTCTTTATGAGCATTTTTGGTTCTGTCTGATACCTATTTTATGTTAATGGGCACGGGTTTCTTTTTAGGAACCTTGTCCGTCGAGGCAATTTACCAAGACAGAGTTCAATTCGCCCAGCTGGTCAGAGATGTGGCCACTACAGACGTGTGCAGAATGGGCATCGAGATCCTCTCATTCACAATAAAAGATGTCTACGATGATGTGGACTACCTGAAGAGTTTGGGCAGGACACAGACTGCCATTGTGAAGAGAGATGCGGCTATTGGAGTCGCACAGGCTGATAGGGACGCCGGAATTAGGTAGGTGTGCTATACTCTGAATCAAAATGGAGCTATTAAAACAAAAATAAAAGCATCTTTGTCTTACTTTTTATTTTAAAGAGTAATGAATGTAGTGAAGACTCTTATATATATAGGTCTTGCTGATTTTTTTGTTTTTTTTTCAGGAAAAAGTCTTAAAATATTGCACTTTTTGAGTTCAATTGAAATTCATCTGCTGAAAGTGACATTAATACCACTCTCCCATTACGAACGTGCAATTGGCGCGAAAATTCGTGAACCATTTCTAGTTTCGAAGGAATTTATTTTTTAGATTACCAGCGAAATAAAAATTTTACCTATTGATCTATTTTTCTCAAGTTGGGTTAATGTTATAAAAAAGCGCCAATCATAAATTGTTCTAGAAATTCAAAGAGCTTAAAGGGCATCTATTTTTTTGTAAAGGGCATCTAAACTTGAGATTTTTTCTAGAAAGTCTGTTTTTTTTATGTTCATTACTCTTTCCTATCTTCGATTGGCTATGTTTTCTTACTCTGCTGGACAAATTTTATAGTGGTATATGAACCAGCCGAAAATACGTAAGTCTCATGCAATAGTTTTGTAACAATTATGTAACAGTCACGAAACTAACTTATGCAAGTTTAGTTCATATGATATAACTTTTAGGCTGGCTAATATACTCCGAACATTTTCGATTGGTTAATACTTCGGTTGCTTTATTTTTTTTCAAGTTTTATGTTCTTTGTTCTATATATATATAGCACATGTCTGATGTGTTGTGATGCTATGTTGTTTGTAGGGAGGCGGAGTGTGAGAAGGAGAAGACGAATGTGAAGTTCATGGCGGACACACAAGTGGCAGACGCGGAAAGGGAGTACAAGATGAAGAAGGCAGAGTACGACAAAGAGGTCAACACACAGGTCAGTAACTAATGCCAATCAAAAGTCAATCAGACCTTAAGGCAACTAGAAATAACCATTGGACCATTTAGTTCATCTATAGTGGGTAAGAAAAGACAAGGACGCGACAGCAGCCGCTGTCCATCGCTTGGTTATTTTATGGGATGCGAAAAGTTACCATACTCTCTAGCGATATCAACAGTTCAATATGAGCCACCGAAAATTAAATGATGTTTTGAGACCCATTGGTCACAAGGAACCCATTCACTGTTGATACGAAATATACTACTTTATAACTAATTAGGAATTTTTCTGCCAGAATTTTTTTTTGATATCGGAAGTTGTTTTTGTGTGTAGAAAGCGCAAGCGGAGTTGGCCTATGAGCTGCAAGCGGCGAAAGAAAAGCAGGCGATAAAGAAGGAAGAGATTGAGATCCAGGTGGTGGAGAGGAGGGCCCAGATTGCGATTGAGGAGCAGGAGATCAAGAGGAGGGAGAAGGAGTTGGAGGCCACTGTGAAGAGCCCGGCTGAGGCGGAGGCATTCAAAATGCAGACACTCGCCGAGGCCGATAAGTTAGTACTCTGAGAGTAATAATAATTCGAAATAGAACGGGCTCGACAATTCGAAGCTTCTCTGCTTATGCTTTGAAGTCAAATACTGTCGAATAAAAACCGCGTGATTACGGTCGCACAGATTCTGACTGATCTGAGCATTACCCTTCAAGCTAACACGCTGTAAAAGCTTTCGGAATCGGGAATTATTCTTAATTCAATATTGAAGTATGATAATTATGTGTAAAAGAACTAAGTGATTTTCACTTATATAGGATGGTTTTTTTTGTTATTCAAGAAAGTCTTAAAATTTGTTCACGCTCAAATTTGATTTTTCGTGGTTTGGTTCATTATATAGTTTTCATTTCAGTTCATTTCCTGTGTTAAAAGAAAGGCAAATTATCCTACCATTGAATAAATTCAAAAATGGACTAGTTTTCTTAATTCCCCGGGAATTCAAAACTTACTTATTGTTTCAGTTTTTTCCTAAATGGATCAACTTCAAGAAAAATCCAATTTTTTTTCCCGTTTCCTTGTTCTTTTCTACTTTTCCAACTGTCTCTTAGCTGTGTTTGAAGATTTGAAAAAAAGATAAGTATAAGTCTTCCATATCCCAATTTGAATTAGATGACGGGCAAAATTGAAGAAATGAGTTCTATGTTCCTAGGCGAAAGTTGCTTCGTTTTTAGTTCAGCTTATCTTGACAAACGGCTCAGTATTTAAATAAATTTTAAATTGCCCTCAAATAAAATATCTGAAATATGATTTGCTAAATTTTTATTTAGATTTTTTAAACTTAGTTTTCCGAAAATGATTGAGCTGTAGCGATGGTTGAATTAATGGGCTGGACAGTTCGAAGCTTCTCCGCTTATGCTTTGAAGTCAAATTTTGTCGAATATTGAAAATTTGATAACGGTCGCACTGATTTGTTTAAATCTGAGCATTACCCTTCAAGTTAACATGGAGGAAGATACATTTTTGTCCTGAATATTAGATAAATGCATGAATTTTCCTTTTGTACTGTTAGGTAGCCTGTGTACCTAATTGGTATGTTTGCGTACAATGCAATTGGTATATTAAGATATGGGAAGCATCTGTTTAAGTGGTCTTTTAGACTTGGAAACATGTTCCGATTGCCGCTAAGTGGGATTTTTAATATCTTGATTAAATAATGAAAAGCTGATGGTCGAATATGTTGAAATTGAATTTAATTTAAACATCGAAGTTGTTTATTCGTACTTTTTGCTCTAAATAAAAACTAGTCATTTTTAAATTATTAGCACGACAATTCGAAGCTTTTCTGCCGTGTATGATGGAAATCAAATATTGTCGAAAAATAACGGCTTGGTTATATTCGCACATTTATTTCTTTCTGAGCATTACCCTTTCAGCTAACATTTTTCAAATCATAGAGTACGGCTTTTAATTCAGTTACTTCAGTAAGGTCTTGTTGTTGCCTGTTTTTATCTAGTGTGTTATTTATTGAAAGTGTTTATGCTTCCGATTTAGCAAGGGTTATCAAACCGGAATATAGACTTTTTTCGGTTAAACAACTTGTTTATCAGAATCACTTGCATCTTGGTTCATCATGAATTCAAATTTCTATGCGTGTCCGCCACTTAGCCTGGAGGTGAATTATTCAGTGTTTTGAATTATAATTGATCGGTTTATATTCATCAGCTTAGTGACCTAATTTTGGGTAATTCTTAGAATATATTTTATTCTTAGAATTTTAAGAATAGATTTTATATTTGAAAGTTTTTCATGACAACAGTTATATTTTCGATTCTACGGGAAATTGTTTAAGTTTAATCGGCTCGGTTGCCGCTTGTTAGTTATGTTTTGAAATAAATTAATTGCTGTCGATTTTAAGTTTTAGTTTTTCTTAGTGTTTTTTTATTTGGACTTAGTGGCTTTATTTTCCTGTATGCTAGCCTGCACTGGAAATTTTATGTGGTACCGCTAGTGGTGCGAAGCTCCACTTCGTCTTTAGCAATTAGTTTAAAAAATTGGAATCTAAAAAATACTTGAACTTTCATTTATTCCATTTCCTGTTGCTTTGTTGTGGATGAAAGAAGCGAGTTTTCACTTATTTCAGTTGTGTGTTTTTAAGTAAGTCTTTGTTTTTGCTCTTGTTAGTTTTTTGGTTGTTTTCAGTATCAATTTGTTTGAAATGTCGATGAAAGAAGTGAAGACACTTAATTAGGTTGTGTGGTTTTTAATAGTGGAAAAATGAAATTTGAGAAAAAACTCACATTTGTTGGATTTTTTGCAGGCTACAGAATTTCTTTCCACAAATTACCTAAAAGAATTTTTCAAAGCTTTGTGCAATCAATTCTGCATTATGGCGAAATGGCCTACGCATACACAAAAAGAATAAGTTGATCCCAAAATTAAACGTATGTTCAGAATTATCTGTTAGTGCGCGTAAATACCAATTATCCAAAACCTAGCTCTGAAAAACAGCTCCATTTGTATTGATTTGTGAATTTTTTTGTCTGCTACTTTCTTTATAATGAAAGGTGTGTAAGAAAATTTGTACGAGTCGTTTTTGTTCATGTTCATTCTTTGGTTTTTCAGGCAAAATCTAGGTGGAACTGATTTTTACTTAGTTCATTAAATTCAGGTTTCAGCATTGAAACAAAAATCTTACATATAGTGAAAAACTATAAATTGTTGTTAAAACCGGAATTGCCTTGAGGTGGTGTATTTGTCTTTTATATGTGTTCTTTAAAATTGTGAAACTAAATTAGAAGTTTTTTTTGGTTTCCTGGAATTCATTGACACTTTTCCAACTGCCAGTAGGCTATGTTCTTTGGAATCAAGTTGGCATCCTCCCCCAGATAGAACGAGTTAAGATTTTCCACCCAGCTTTTAGTTCGATCAAGTTTGCTAAACGCTACATGTAAAGTGCTCGATTCTGATTTGCTGAAAATTCGTAACTTAGAACCAAGTTAACATCATCCCCTCTAAACGGCTTTGGCGGGAGAGAGAGAGAGAGAGAGAGAGAGAGAGAGGGGGGGGGGAGAGGGGGGTGGTTTAGGGAGATGATGTTAACTTGTTACTTTCTTTGTTTGCTTTGGCACAGCAGTGGAGTCATAAGATCGACTAATGAAAGCTCTTCTGCTCTGCTCAGAAGTCACAGGTAGTCGAAGAAAAACAGCTTTGATTACGGTCGCTTTGATTCTTTGATATAAGCATTACCCTTCAGGCTAACATATTTGAGTATTGAATCCGTTTTTGAATTAATATTAATCTCTTAAGATTATTGAAAGTCCATCTTGTTCCGATATTGGGCAAAAATTTTCTTAGAGCGTAAGTTAAAAAAATTTATTTGCATTTTTGGCAAACGACTTTCTTATATCGGTTTAATTTACTCTCAATTATTTTTCTGAGTTATGATTTTCTCAGCTTTCTACCAGTTTTAGTTTCATTTCATTGTCTAAAAATTCTTGAGCTGTAGCAATGACTGAAGTAACTGGCTCGACGATTCGAAGCTTCTCTGCTTGTGCTTTGAAGTCAAATACTGTCGAATAAAAACAGCGTGATTACGGTCGCACAGATTCTGACTGATCTGAGCATTACCCTTCAAGCTAACAGGCTGTAAAAGCGCTCGGAATCAGGAATTATTTTTTATTCAATACTGAAGTATGGTAATTATGTGTAAAAGAATAAGTAGTTTTCACTTATACAGGATGATTTTGGTTTTTGAAGAAATTCTTAAAATTTGTTCACGCTCAAATTAGATTTTCGTGGTTTGGTTTATAATATAGTTTTCATTTCAGTTCATTTGCTGTGTTGAAAGGAAGGTAAATTATCCTACCACTGAATAAATTCAAACTTGGACTGTAGTTTTCCAAATTCCCGGGGAGTTAAAAACTTTCTTATTGTTCAGTTTTTTCTAAATGGATCAACTTCAAGAAAAAACCATTTTTTTTCTGTTTCTTTGTTGATTTTTACTTTTTCAACTGTCTGTTAGCTGTGTTTGAAGATTTGAAAAAATATAATTATAAGTTTCCCATATCTCAATTTTACAATGATGACGGGCAAAATTGAACAATTGAGTTCTATGTTCCTATGAAAATTACTTCGTTTTTAGTTTAGCTTATCTTGACAAACGGTTTACTATTATAATTTTTAAATATCTGAAATATGATTTGCTCGATTTTTTAAGCTTAGTTTTCCAAAAATGATTAAGCTGCAGCGATGATTGAATTAATGGGATCGACAGTTCGAAGCTTCTCTGCTTATGCTTTGAAGTCACTTACTGTCGAATAAAAATAGCGTGATAACGGTCGCACATATTTCAATAAATTTGAGCATTACCCTTCAAGCTAACACGCTCTTAAAGCCATCGGATTGAAAAAGTGTATCATAGTGGTTTGATATACACTTTTTTTTATAGTGGATTGACAAGAAATGTTGAAGTTGATTAAATGTGTGATTAGATTCGTGCGTGTGAAGAGGAGCGAGGCTGAGGCGGACAAGATCAAGATGGTGGGAGAGGCGGATGCGTCGTCCACTCTGGCTATAGGCAGTGCAGAGGCCGAGATGATGAGGCTGAAGGCGGATGCATACAAGCAGTACGGGGAGGCGGCCAAGATGAGTCTGGTGCTCGAGTGTCTGCCAAAGATCGCTGCTGAGGTGAGAAGAGCACAAATTGATTGGCATAATATTCTCATTTACTTGTTCTTTTTAAAGCAACAACCGATCAAAAGTGAAAGTTTAACTGGGATCTGCATGGTTAAAAAAAGTAAAGCGTTAGCATAATTGCAGCTCATTATAGAGGCATTTTTCACCGATTCGCAGTATTAGATTTTCGCCGAAGGCCCAAAAATAGATCTTGTTCCGATTTGAGATCCCTAAATGGGAATGCTTGTAGAAAGCCGAACTATACAATGTTTTTGTTCAAATTATCTTTTGGATTGAGACATTAACATGCACATCAGGAAGAAACCTTATTTTTTACTCAGTTTCTCATTTTCGGATGATAACTTGTTGTTCGTTTCTCCTATTGTCTACTTTTCTTATTTGTTCTTAGGTGTCGGCTCCTCTGAGGAAGGTGGAAGAGATTGTGATCATCGGAGACGACAGGGCCACGGCGGACATCAGCAGAATGGCAGCCACCCTCCCTACTGCCATTAGTGCACTCACAGGAATCGACATCACAAAGGTTTGTCCACATCAAAACTCATATTGCCAGTTTTCAAAACTTTTGAGTTTTTAAGCTAAAGGAGTTTTCGAACTAAGTGTGATCGAACAAAAAATCATAGCTTTTTAACTTTTCTGCAATGTTCGGTGGAAGGCATTGAAACTAAGTCCAGACTTGAGAAACAGCTAACTATAACCGAGTTGTTCCTGTAGTTGTTCCTGTAGTTTAGTTTGGGGAGCAGTGGTGAAGTGGTTAACGTCTCCGCCTCTCAATCGAAAGGTCGGATGTTCGAGGCCCACCATGATCCGTGCTCGTTGCTTGAGGGTGAGGCAACATTACCCAGCCCAGAAAAATAACCAAAAAAAAGAAATTGCATGTAGTTCTTAAGCAGGGGCACAACAGCGGTTCGCCGTGATGAGCTGTACAGCTCGTATGTTGGTCCTATCCCTCGTGGATAAATGATCTTAAAAAAAAAGAACATACCGAAAAGGCAGGGCGTATCTATGGTTGTCGCAAGTAGAGATATTTAGGCAGATAGAGGAGGTTTTTCATTGATTTTACTGTGCTATTTTAGTATATACAAAACAAAAGGGCATTTGGCCTGAAATTTCTGCGCGGCTGTCGAATTTTTGAGAAAAGTACCAAAGTGCTTTTGCGAAATCTGTATCTAGTAGTATTTTCCTGGCTCTCCCCATATGCGAAAAAAGGCATCATTTGGTCCAAACTATGTACCGCTGTCAAATTTTCGAGAAAATTACTCTAGTCGCGGGACATAAAAGTTGCATCTTTTAGTTTTCAAGCGGTGAAATGAATAATTTTTTTAAGTTTTCTGCCTTTTTTCTGCTACTTCCACTAAATAAACAGTTGAATTTTTGACGTTTGATGGATGAACCTGTTTTAAGAGTCGATAAACATAGTTCATGTTCTTGCGTAAGTGCTGCTGATTTTTATTTCAGGAAAAGTCTTAAAATTTGTTCAGGCTTAAATTTACTCTTTCGCAGTTAAACTATGATTTATTGTTAAGCTCAGTTCATTTCCTTTAATAAAAGAAATGCAAATCCCACTATCGAACAGAAAAAAGGGAAAGGTCATTAAAAACGTGATCGATTTTCAAAAAAGGAATTTAATTATCAGACTACCCAGCGAAATATTTACCTTTTGATCTAGTTTTCTCAAATTGGGTCAATTGAATCAAAAAAGTGTCAATCATAACTTGCTCTAGAATTTCAAAGAGCTTTTTTTCTTAAAAATTTGTTAGTTTTTCTTCAAAAAATCATTATTGTTCTTGTTTACTTGCGTTCTTCGACTCTTTTCCAACTGTCTGTTGGCTATTTTTTTTTAGAATATTGCCGGATAAAAGTCCGTAAAAAGTTGTTTTGAAGACGTTGTTTGGCTATTTATTTAGGGAGCGGAGCGTCAAGAAGTGTTCCTAATGCCATAAAATTCCCGTAAACAATGAAGCAGTTTGAATGTTACGACATAAATGTGTTCGTTGAAAATTAGAGATCCAAGATAGGCTCTCATATATGTTTCCCTTTTCATAAAACAACAAAAAACTTTTTTTTTCTCAAAATTTCAAAAACTTTTCATTACCAGCGTTAATCTTACCATTTCTACTGCTAGACGACGGGATATAAAACTATCTAGAGGCTCCAACAGGTACCAAATTTGAAAGAGAATTTCTTAGTCACGGGGCATAGACGTTGCATCTTATAGTTTTCATGCGATGAAATAACGAAATTTTCTATGACAACCTTTCCTACAGCTGAGTATAGTTCAAGATAAATTCCGAGGATTTACGTTCTGTTTCACCTGTAAAATCAGTTGGTGGAACTTCTTATTCCGATTAATGTAGTCTGTCTTGACGTCATCTCAACTTAGATTTGAATAATGAAAATAAAACGTCGTCAATTGGACTCTGATTCGGTTATTAGCCTTCACCAAGTTTCAAGTTAATTCTCTATCTAATGCTTGAATTAAGTAACCAAATGTTCTAGCTGAAACAAGAACGAAAACGTAATGGCAGTGATGCTTGAAAATCAAATGAAACTATTTCCAATTCTTTTCATGCTGTGTTTTAGGCTGTTGGCAAAGCCATCAACTAGACTTTCTTCATTCGTGGGATCACGTCAACCAAAATGAACGACAAAACTAGAAATTGGAGGAAAACAAGAAGACGGAAGTTCCAATTTATATCACAGTTAATACAAGATTTACGCTAATGTGGCTCATAATGGTTCTTAAAACAGAACGGACAGTTTTTTATTGGAAAAACACTAATAAATTTATTGGTACACAATATGGGTCATTTTTTGCTGATTCCGCCCAACTTTATATACACTTGAACATATTATTAAATTAATCTGACATGAGGTTCAATTTTTATTTTTGTATCGGGTTAGGTTTAAATTGATTGAGTTTCAACAAAAGACATATGAAATTCTTCACAATTTCCCTTATTATTTTCAATTTTGGGTGAAATAAGCAAAAAAAAACCCAAATTGTTGCAAATGAAAAGTGAGCAGGATTCCTCTCCCTTAAGTTCTATCCTACCTCAGATGCGATATGTGTACATGGTATTATATGTTTCGATTATTTTTCCCTCATTGATTTTCTAGAATAGCTTAATTTGAAGCGTTCTTAGTGGTATAAAAAACCACGGGAGTCAGAAAAAGTATGAAATTATAATCTAAAATATGCAATAGAGCCTAAAAAGAAAAGCTTCTGACTCTCCTAGATCTCAAATGTATCTGTTGTGCCTATTTTGGGTTCTCTGAGAGCCTATTTTGTGTGTAGCGTGTGAGTACCTATCTTACAATAGTAGTCCAATAAAAAAATTCTTTTCCAGTTGAGCCTTCCAAAATTCTCAAAACAGTCAGCTCTATTTAGGTTTAAACATGATTACAATCTAAACCTAGGACAATTAATGGACCTCAACGATAATATTTTGACCGGATATGACTGGAAAAGAGCCAAATAGTTCGTTTCTATCTTTCAAATAAAATGCACGCGTTTGTTGTTTCAGTGAATGAATGCTCGTTTCTATCAAAATTTATGTATTTCCTTTTTGATGCTATTGATCCTCGGAAAGAGATTGTTATCGAAAGTTATGGAAGAGAGTATTTTAGACGGATGTTTTGGCTCTTTTTGAGTGACTGAATCTTACTTGGCAGCAAAAGTGAATTTAATTCCGTACTTTGTAAGTATAGAAAAATTACTTTACACGTAAAATCTAAAGATATGCGGAACTTGAAAAGAGCTGAAAAATTTGAAGCAGACAATTATTTTAGAATTGTGAATATTGATGTTGCCTAAGTTAAAATGGGTTGTATTGATAGCCTAGAAATGTTTTAAAATTCAGTCTATTCAAATTTCGAAAATGTACAATTTTATAATTAACCAGATGAATTTAATGTTAACCATTTTGTTTTACTTAGAGCTGAAAGCATATACCAGGTCAAACTCATAGTGCTCAGAATCCTCCGTTTATTCAGAATCCTCCGTGTAAGTATTTGGAATCCGCACGCTAGCTTTTTAGCATGTTTTGGTGTCAATGATTGTATTGGGTTCACTTATTTAGGTCGTGATATATATTTTTCCTTTTTTAGGAAAGTCCTAGTTGCGCCAAATTTGATCTTCTGCAGTTGTTGTCTGATTTCCTTTTAAGTTAGTTCATTTTGTTAATTAAAAGGCAAGAAAATTCCAATATCATGCAACAAAAGTGTAGAAGTCACGACTTCTAGTTTCGAAAATGGAATTTAATTATCAGATTTCCCATCACAATTTACCTATTGATCTTTTTTTCTCAAATTGGATTAATTTAATCGAAAAAGCACCAATCATAAATTATTCTTGAAGTTCAAAGAGCTTTAAGAGCATATAATTCTACTCTTTTCCAACTGTAAGTTGGCTATGTTTTTTTTTACATTTACACTAGCCAGCAGCTAGTGTTAGAGTACGGACCTTTTTTTCGCAATCTAACTCGCAAATAAGTGTTCACTTATGTGCCTTTTTGCTATAATCTCGAGCTGTAGCATTGGAAATTTCATAGCATCTGTTCTGGGGTTTATGTGAAGCTAGTGTTTGTGGCTGACTTATCGTCCGTGGTTGAATGGTTAGTGCCTGTGACTCAAGATCACTAGGTCGCAGATCAAATCCGTGACGTAGCCGAATTTTTACTAATTCGAGGCTTGTTTCTACTTTTGCTTGTGGCATTTCTTAGAGCTCCTGTGCTGCTTTTTGTGTTCTCGCTAGCGTTCGCGAAGGGACTTCGCCTTCGTGTTAACAAAATGTCAATCATAAGTCATGTTTGAAGTTCGAGGAACTTCAAGTTAATATATTCTTAATTGTAAATGAACGAAGTGATTTTCACTTATAGTGGACTTAAAAATTTTTTAAGTTGTATTTTTGGGACATTTCTTTGCGTTCTTTCCTTGCGTTCATCACTCTTTTGCAACCGTCAGTTGGCTTTGATTTTTAAAAGAAAGTGTTAAACATACTTTGTTTTTGAAGCTCGAAGAGCTGCAAATTTATATATTCCTAATTGTAATAAAAAAATTGAGGTGATTTTTGCTTAGCTTGGTCCTGAATTTTTTTTGTGTCTTTAGGATAAACTCTATTAAATAGCGTCGTGAAGGAACGTAGTGAAGACTGTTTGATAGTTGTTTGTAATTTTTTTAGTGTTCAGGAAATGCTCAAATAACTGCAATTTATGAATGCACTTGTGTATATATGAATTTTTTAGGTCAATTGAACTTCAGTTTCTAAAATTCTGTTAATTTGTGCTCTCCAAATACGATACTTAGAATTGTGCAAAAATTTGGTCAGTTGGCTTTGATTTTTAATAGAAAGTGTTAAACATACTTTGTTTTTGAAGCTCGAAGAGCTGCAAATTTATATATTCCTAATTGTAATAAAAAAATTGAGGTGATTTTTGCTTAGCTTGGTCCTGAATTTTTTTTGTGTCTTTAGGATAAACTCTATTAAATAGCGTCGTGAAGGAACGTAGTGAAGACTGTTTGATAGTTGTTGGTAATTTTTTTAGTGTTCAGGAAATGCTCAAATAACTGCAATTTATGAATGCACTTGTGTATATATGAATTTTTTAGGTCAATTGAACTTCAGTTTCTAAAATTCTGTTAATTTGTGCTCTCCAAATACGATACTTAGAATTGTGCAAAAATTTGGCGATTTCTATTTTCGAAAGTGGTTTTCAGTTTTTAGATTTCTGCTCAATTATCCACTTTTCTAAATTAGGTTAGTTTTATTGACAAGTTGTCAATCATAAAAATATATCTTGAAATTCCAATAGCTTTAAGGCCGTATTTTTTTGTTAATTCTATTTATGTTCAGGTTTTTTATTTATTTTGATTTCATGGACTTTTTTCCAACTGTCAGTTGGCTATGTGTTTAGATTTAAGAAAAAAGAGCATATCGAATAGTTCTTGAAATTGAAGAGCTTTAACCTGGTATATTTTTTTCTTCGAAAATTAGAAAAAAAGTTCATTTTTCAACTTTGCTCGGTTCTGTTGAGTTTTCTACACTTATCAGACCCTGTGCTGGCAACATTTTTTGTCGAAATACGAGATTTTTAAATGTTTATGAAGTAAAATAAATTTCATTTACCAAATTGCGTATTCACGATCAATACCTTAAAAAATGTATCTCAGAATACGCAATGGGCGAAAAGATGAAAGCCTTGAGCTAGCGTTTGGAGCTGCAGCTTTGATTTGAGTATTTGTCGCTGGGTTCTACATGAGCAAAATTATGGCGTTGTTGCGGACTGCATAACAATAACATGTCAACGAATCCGCATGCAATTTGAAAATGCACTGTTTAAACTCGTAGACTACTTCTTGTACTTTATGAAAAACGAGTAATAAATGCTGACTGAAAAGTTTTTCTTTTGTCTGAGGGATTTGACTCCTTGATAATCCCCCTTAAAACTTTTCTAAAGGCATCTTTGGCGTCAAAATATACAACGTTTAATTAGAAATTGCCTGAAAAAAAATTGAGTTTTTTTTGTCAAAAAAGGTCCAAAAACAGCTTGAAAACAAAATTCAGGTCTTTTTTTCAAAATAATGCGTGCGGCTCAAATGTCGTTTCTATTTTACGTTGAGAAAACTGAATGACTATTCAGTCGACCTTCAAGAAATCCGCTCCTCTAGAAAGTCATACAGTGGCATCTGACCAGTTGGAAATATAATTTAGGTAATCAAGGACTTTATACTCCAAAGAACAAGTCTTGAGTACAAACCTTTGAAGTAATTTGTTTTTGAATTCTGAATGTTTTCTTTTGTAAAATTTTCTAGTTATTTTATTAGTATGCGCATTCTATGTGAGTTGAGACATGAATAGTAATCAAACTTTTTAAATATTATTCTAATTTAACTCTCGTTAAAAGGTTGCAGTACAGCAAGCAACACATGGAGTCCATGTAAAATTTATCAAAAGTAAATCACCTTCGTCTCAAATTTTCAACCTTTTTTTTTACTTTGAAGTTAAAACTGAACATATACTATAGCAAAAACTTTTTGAAGGAAGTTTAATGCAAGCCTCTTAGCTTAGATGAATAAATCGATCAGTTGTTTTCAATTCCCTTGCTACATATTTTTGTGACTCAGTTTTAAAGTGAGTTTTGTTTGGCTATTTTTCCTGCTTTTGGGGCCATTAATCATTAGCAGCATATAAGAAAAAAGGCCGGTAAACTAAACACTGTTTTCACTGTAAATTTTGTTTTTGATTTTTACTGGCCGCTTCTCGATTCTTTTATGCCTCTGAAAAAATTTACGTCATTTGTTTTTTCTGAATTGAGAATCATGGAAGTTAGTTTCTCTGATGGTAAAATATCACAAGACAGTCGTCACAGTTGGCTTATTTGCTCCGTACAAGCACATGACTTTTTACCGTTGAGAAAAGCAAGCAGGTACCAACCGGGTACTAGATTTTTTGTCCGTAAATAACTTTTTGTTCACAGGATTTCCAGTTTTATTTGATCTCCCAGTCTGTACTTGCATCATTCAACAGACATGTATGCAGTTTAAACACTCAATTTTTTCCGAAAATGTCTTGTGTTGCTTAGCTTTGCGATACACAAGGGTATTGCAACCGGGTACTAGACTTTTTTCCCCTAAACAACTTTGTCCACAGACTCATCTGGAAGTTTTTCTTCTTTTCCTCTTCGTGCCTGCATACTCCTCTAGAGTCTTTTTTTTACTTGACCCATATTTGACCCCATTAGAATATTTGACCCGACCCCATTAGAATATTTGACCCATATTTTCGATTTTTTTGTGTGTTTTCTCGAAAACTACCCCTCTCAAACATAAGTTTTAGGTTTCAGTGGATAGAACTCTTTTTGAAAAACTCCCCTGCATAAATGGCCACGACCAAATTTTTTTACATATAAAATTATGGCCCTCTGAAAAGTCAAATTTTTGATCTTTTGACCCGTTTTTTGAACTTTTCGAATATTCTCAAAAACTTCCGTGTCATACCTGACTTTGGCGGGCTTCGAGAAATTCATTTGCTTATGCGACTCCACCCAAAGTTTTTTGACTCCAAACTTTTGGCCCTCGGAAAAGTAAAAGTTATGATTTTGTGACAGTTTTTTCAATTTTTTTTACTTCTTAAAAACTACTCTCTCAAATCTGATATTGTGGATTTAATGAGACGAAAGGTAGTGGGGAAGCTCCTAAGCATTAACGGACTCTAACGTAGTTTTTTAAACAAGAAATTATCGCCCTCTGATAGGTCAAATTTTTGACTTTTTGAGCGATTTTTATTTTTCTCGCTAACTATGATGCCAAATCTGATATTTTAGGTTTAATCGAATGAACAGGTTGTTGAAAGCCTACCTTTCAAATTAGCTATGCCCAGTTCGTTTGAAACTTTGACAGTGTTTTGGGAAACTTATTGACTTTACGCGAAAATTACCGGGCCAATTCTCAAGTTGTGTTCAATCGAGAAAGCCGGCTTTAGAAATCTTTTCTGCATAAGCGGCCATAATCTGCTTTTTGCAGAAAAACATGAATTTTTGATTTTTTTTGAACGTTTTTAGAACTTTCGATCGCTTTCTAGAAACATTGTGAATTTTCTTAAAATTTACACCATCAAGTCTGAGATGAAAAATCCATTGAAAGAACGGGTTGCGATAATTGTTCCTGCAGAATCATCAAATCCTTAATTTTTTGTATCGGAAATGTTATCTCTTTGTGAAAATTGATTATCTCTTAATTTCTTATTCTTTTCTCTTATTTTGGTTGTGAAACAACTAATGTTGTAGTCAAAGTTCAATTTTTGAAATCACACTGTTCGTGCCACATCAATATAGCAAACTCATTCAATATTAAAGACGTACTTCTAGCCTTAGGTGGTCCTGTTTTTGTTTTGGATGGAGACTTACGAAAATTTGGTTCATCTTGTTTTTTTTCAATATCTAAAAAATTTTTTCAACATATGTTTTTTTCGTGTTTGTATTGTATCGCAAGTGGTGCGAAGCTTCGCTTCGCCTTTGTATTATAATTTTTTTGTTGAGTTTGTTGAATATAATTTTTGAGTTTCGTTTTTTACTCTATCAGCTTTAGATGTTTCGGCTTAGAATAAATCGGCTTTCTAACCTCAAATTGTGTCGAATGAGCGATTAATTTTCTGAAGTGTGCGTGTGTGTGTGTTTCGAGGGTCATTACTTGATTTTTTTCGTTTTAAATTTTTTAGGAATTTTTTTCGGCTCAACCGGTGTCTGTGTAAATGTCGCCGGTATTATGACCGCTTCGTAATTTTTTGTTGCGATCTCATTCAACATTAAATTGCCCTACTTGGCATGTTTTTGTCAAAATTAAGAATTCATACCAAATTGCGGGAAATACAACACTTTTCTGAAAGCAGTTTTTGTTGCGTTTGTGCCATGTAATTTTACATGCTATGTTTTTTTTTATATCGCAAAAAATGCAAACTCTGCTTCGCATCTGTGTAAGCAAAAAAGCAAAAATTAATTTTAGGCACGTGCAAAGCTGTCATTATATTTTCAAGAGCGAAGAAAACTGTGGATTAGTTAAGTAGCTTATTAAGCTCGTGTCTAGTTTTTTTTGCAACTGACTTCTGACGTTTAATTTATTTTGAAATTCTCTAACTTTTTTTTTCTGAATAAATGAGCTTGCCTTTCGGCTCATTTTATAGATTTTTGAGCGAATTAAAAGAGCTGCTTTTAAATCTAGTTTCCTATAATGGAATCAATTTTGTCATACACAAAAATTTGCTGAAAATTTACATCATTGAAGTTTTTTGAAGTTGATTTGAGATAGAAAAAGTTAAAATAAATTTTTTCAATAACTGGCATTCTTTTTTAATCAACAATTGAAATACTGCATATATCTAAAGGCATAACTTTAAATTGAAGAACAATTTTCAAAACTAAGCTAACCTGCTCCGAACTCATCTTCTGATGCGCATTAAAAATGAGCGACAACAAGATTGAAAAGATTCTGTAAAACCTTGCTAGAGCATATAATTGGGCTATTTTTTCTATTTCCCCCCACCTGTAAACTTTTAAAAGCAATTTGTTGTCTGATTGTTACAAAAAACGGTATGCGGACTGACTAGGTCATGACAAACTTGTTTGGTCTTCATACTAGAAATTGTAAAACCTCCCATTAGATCATAAAGTTAATGCATATGTGAGGTGGGCGGGAATGAAAGTCTATATTTGATTGACCTCTGAGAAATATCCGGAAATTAAATAAGTTTTTTTTTCAACGAGTTTTTTGTTTTATACATGAAAGCGCAAGCAATTTTGGAAACAACTTTTTAAATGAGCTTTGTACGGCAAGCAGTATTTCTATTCAAGTATAAGTTGTCTTTTTGAACGCCTAGAGACGGCTGGAAAGTCTTAGAAAAATCTAGGCAACTAACAATCACCAAAATAACCGAAGTTTAATTTGAGAAAATTTATTGGTTTAAAAAGCTTTTAAAACTTAATAGGTTTATGTGATCATACTCTGTGTGTTATCACGTATGGCTCGCAAGTGAAAACATTCATGCATAATTTTTGCCATTTTTTTCTCAAGTTTGATTTTTCTCGTTTTGACTTCTGATTTCTTTTGAAGATATCTTCAAGTTTACTCGCTATATCGAAAACAAGTCACGTTCTCCAATTAAAACAAAAGTACAAATGGCGCAAAAAAATTGACTGACTTCATGTTTCAAGCTGATATATAGTTTAAATAAAAACAAACTCAAAAGACACTTGAAATTGGAAGACACTTTCAACTTTTTGTTGGCTATGGTTTTAGATTACACACTATTGATGACTTTTGTTTGAACATTTTAAAAAAGAACTTTTTAGACCAATTCTTAACGCCATATTCTGAATCTTAAGATGTTAGCAGCTTAAAACAATATTTTTAACAGAGGCTTTTGATTGTACTAAGGTTTTCAATAATTGTGTTAGTAATTTTTCTATTTGAGTATTAGGAGTGTATTAATGATAAGCTTCGCTCTATAAAACTCTGCCGTATTAACGCTTTATTCATTTCTACAAGGTTCTATACTCTGATAATGCTTTGAAAAACAGCCTTCGGTAATCATGGTCGTGTTGCGTTCTTGGGATTTAATTGGGATAGAACTATTTCTTCAATACATTCCTGATTCTGACCAGGGGTAGAGTGGATTGTAAGCTGACCTTGAGAAGTCTCCTCGCTTGCCCAATCTGTAGAGCATCCCTGAAATGACTCATGAGTGGTAACAAAAATGAACAAAATTTATTTTTTTTTGTACCAAAAATTAGTAAATTATCAGTTTTTGCCCCAAGAGTTTTCAAGAAGGCACCTCCTTTCACGTACAGTTTATTTTACTGAAATGTATGCTAACATTTTCTATAGTTCAAGCTGCCTGTTGTATCTACTTGCTTGTTGTATTTATATGGACCTGATAAAAATATGATTTAACATGTGATAATCTGAAGCCAAAATTACTAGGAAGCAAATTGGCCAGTTTTCAGCTGCGAAATAAATGTTACAATTGGCTGAATTAGGGATAGCCGCCTCTTGCTGTGCAAATACAAGAGAAACGCCTGACCACGCTTAGTTTTGTAAGGAAAATTTCAAATAAGCGAAATCAAAGCTTTTCATTTCAACATTAACAAAAAACTAAACTCAGTTAAAGGTATCTGGCAATTTAAATTGAAATTTAAATTGGCAGTTAGATTGGAAAAAATTGGCAGCCTATTGGCCTCTGTGTAATTGACACTGAAAAATTGTTTGAAACTTGTCTGAAACTTGTATTTAAAAAATTTTAGCACAAGAATCAGAATCATTATGGTTCTTATAATCTCAATTGACCCACTATTACCTTTTTAGAGTTCAATGTCACCTGGAAAAAAAACACCGAACGCCAAACATTTTTTGAGTGTTTTAATGACGGTGTCAAAAAAAACGTTGGCGCTCTTCTTACGATTCTAGCTGTCATATATTGTAAGTAACAAATATATTTACACGCTTGTTCCTCGAACCTGCAACAATTTTTTTAAATTTGTTTTGAACTCCATTCAAGGCGAAAGAATTTTAATTATGTAATATACTCAATACCGTACAAGCGTTTTCTGGACAGCCTAATTATGCGTGAAGAAATCATAGCAACCCATGGCAATAAGTCCTTGCTTGTATTTCAAACAGATTTGTTGTTTTTCTATAATCTACGATTGATAGAAAGATACACTGATCATATTTTGTGTATCCTAATTTAATGTTTAATTTTTCAATGGTCAATACTTATTAGTTACAATGCATAAACCAGTAACTACAGGGTGTTTCAAATAAACTGTAATTTTATAAAACGCTATAACTTTTTTTTGAGAAGAGATAAATACACAATTTTTTCTGCACAAGATAGATAAGTGGCGGAGATTTGAATATCTGATAAAATTGTTTTATAAAAGATGCTGAAAGTGTCCGCCGTTTTGAGCAACACAGCTTTGTAATCTTTTCGTCAAATTTCTCAATGACTCTTCGATATTATCGGGCGTTATTGTATTTCGGGCATCTTCTACAGTTTGCATGAGTTTGTCAATACTTCGTGGATTCGCACCATGAACAATTTTCCCCAGATGACCCCACAGCCAAAAATCTAGGGGATTCAGGTCCGGACTCTGAGGTGGCCAGGGTATAGGGGTTCGTCTACTTATAATTCTGTCGTTGAACTTTGTCCCAAGCCAACTGAGTACGCGTCCCGTGCAGTGACATGTGGCTCCGTCTTGCATAAACCATATGCGCCTCAAGTTTCGTCGTTCTCGAAGGACTGGCCAGAGGTCGTGTTCCAGCATGTTCAGATACGAAAACTGGTTCAGTGTTATTGGTCGTTGCTGTTCGTCTACGAACCAAAACGGGCCAAGAACAGCTCCTTGAAGGAAACCCATCCAGCACATCACTTTCTTTTTGCCCTGGTACTTGCACTCCGCGTATTCTCTGGGGTTAAATAAACTCCATCTCCTTTCGTTTTGAGAATTTGGAGAGCTGTCGAGCACCCACCACTTTTCGTCTGAGAAAATCACCCGTGATGTGAAATCTGCCGCTGTTTCAATCTTGCTCAAGCACCAGACACCAAAAGTAAGTCTCAAGCCGAAATTCGTCTCTTTAATTTGGTGTGTTTTGAGCACTTTGTAGGGCTTCAATTTGGCAGCTCTCGCGACTCTCCAAGTTGTGGTGCGGCTCAACCCCAAATCAGCTGCTGCTTTAGTTATTGAATCTTTAGGATGAAAATCAAAGTGTCTTATAATACTGGCATTCGCTTCATCGGTTCCTGGTAACCCCGTTCCCTTTCGATGCTGCCCTTGAAATTTCGATAACCCGCCTCTTTCTTGGAACCGTTTCCACACTCTGATAAACTGCGTAAGTTGAAGTGTTTATGCAACGCGTGGGGCAATGTAATATTCATTGATATATCTTCTCCGAACTTCAGTTGGGGATTCATAAATTGCAAACAAACAAATGATCCGTTTTTCTTCGTTTACTGTGAAAACCATTTCGTTGTTTTCATTTACGTATGAACAAATAGTTTAAAAAATTTTTTGTTGCGTGGAAGCGTGAGATAGTTGGAAAATCGCAGGTATTCACTATCGAGTTCAATTCATCAACGCAGTTTTTGAGTTTTATCAAATCTCCGCCTGTTCTACATAATATCACCGAACTTGAAGTCGAACTGATCAACAGTTATGAAATGAGAAGCTTTTATAACATTACAGTTTATTTGAAACACCCTGTAGTAATAACTTTTCGATCAAGCCAGGCGATCTCGCCAAGCATTCGGACTGAATCACACCTCCCAACTGTATGAAATTCGCAACACGAAAACATATTTAAAAAAGAGGCAAAGCGAAACAAGACTGCTCGTATCAGGGTTAAGCCCTGAAAGTTCCAACAGCCTTTTAAGGTCTATGGAGCATGAATAAGATGGAAAATTTCAATGTAATAAAAAAAAATTTTTTTTTTAAATTTGAGATTTTATGTAAAAACATCCCCCCACGTCACATTAAGTACAAAGTGATAGATTTTGCGCCTATTAACAAATCAATTATGGCATATAAGCTTCCTTGAACCAATTTGGAACGATTTTAAGACGGATTAATTCTCGCTTACGAGTTAATAGCGCAAAATTTATCGCGCGTTAATTGTCCCAAATTGGCCAAAATGGCAATCTTTAAACCCCCGTAACTTTACGAAAATTGATCACAGGTGAAATATATTTTCCAATTTGAGCTCAGGACAACAATACCTTTCGAGTGATAAAAAAAATTTCGTCAAAAATGGCTAGTTAAAAAGTCGAAATTTGTCTGAAGAAAAAAAAACCACCCGAGCACAAATATTCCGTTACTTTCGTATCGAAAGTCGGAACAAATATGCAACAGCGATACAGCTTAAACTTTATAGGAAACAAGCCGGCCAAAGTTGAGACATGAAAACATTTGAAAAATTGTAAAAAACGAGGTCCGCAAAAATTTCATACGTTTATTAAACTTGATGATGAAAAGAGACCAAAAAATGCTACAACTAGCGTAAAATAAGCATTACTAGTGGCAGCTAACCGTCATAACTTGCATAGACGGCCGTTGAAACAAAATGAAACTATTCATGAAAATTTTTAAGCTAAAATTTTTGAAGTGGAAGTGAAGAGGCCAACATTTTTTTTAAGTAAAAACGTGTTTTCGATAAATTGTGATTTGTTGTTTCACTCTGATGTAGCGTGAAACATTTCACAGGCTGACGTAAAAACCCACTTTTCATTACTACAGACAAATGAAACAACGTTGGTCGTATCAAGACGAAGCCCTGAATACTCGAAATGCCCTTTAAATTCTATGGAGTAGTGCTTGTTTAAAAAAAAACATTGATGAAATCTTCAAAAAAAAACATGAAAAACCTTAATTTTTTTTGCAGTTTTTGTTGAAAATCATCCCCCACTCATTATGTTCAGTGCAAAAAAAAATTGTCTATAGCAAAGTATTAAAAAGCTCAAATAGCATGCCTCAGACCAAATAGTTAAAATGTCGAAATTTATCTGGAGAAAAAAAAACACCCGAGCACAAATATTTAGTTATTTTCTTCAAAAGCAGGAACAAAAAATATAAAGTATATCTGAAATCAATTTTTCAGGATCAAAACTATTCGATAACGTTTTGCTCGATAGCATTCTACTGGAATTGGGTCCATGATAAAACTGCATGCTTTTTCGCCAATTTTGCAGCAGTTCAATTTAACCGATTTAATCAGTAATGTCCAAAATTTAGCGCAATCTTTTCTTGCTTTTCAACTAATCAACTTTTGTTTTAAAAATAAAAAAGAAATTTTTAATCGGGTGTGATTTAGTTTTTTTGTTTTCCACTCAAAATCAGCTACCACAATAATCATCGGAGAGATTTGAGTGGCATATCATATAAAAAGTCTTTCATTTGTGATTCTACCGACATTTAAAAATTTCCAAAACTTTTCCCAGTGTCGAGAAAAATTGGTTCAAAATTTTTGATTTTTCATTTCAATTTCAAGCGAAAAACGCGATCGAGTAACGTTGGTTATGTAAAAATTGGCTATTCTGTGGATTTTCGGTGGAGTTCACCACAACACTTGCAATTACCGAAAGTAGAACGCTAACTTTTCATCACCCATATCATCAAATAGGTTTTACGAACTGTCACCTCACGAATTGGAAGTCTAAAGCTGTCTAACTTCATGCCGAAAAAAACTGCACGAAAGAATACCTTGTTTTTCGACCGTTCATGAAACTACTACAGAAATGGGCATCTTTTAAGGCTTTCTCACTTCGACCCATTTTTATAACTTTCCACTTATATCCACTTATATTCCACTTATATCTTCAACTTACTTTTCGGTGGAGTTGGCTTGATCTGACTCAATTGGCACAGAAAATCCTGTTCTGCACAGAACACGAACTGAGATGTCACACTGTTAAACAAGGAGAGAAAGAGGAAGAGACTCGCGAACAGACAGAGAGAAGGCGTGAACTGAATTCGACAGCTTCTTCTTCTTCTGTTACTGGTGAATTTGATTGAATCGGTGACCGCTGTTGACCTCATGACCTCTGCTCACCTTTCACGTCTGCGGTTACGTAATACTAAAAATCGATGAAAAAATTAAAAAAGAGAGAAAAAAATATTTTGCAGGTGTAATCAAAGCGAGCTTAGTGTAGACTGAAATTGAATATTATAAATTTTATTTTAACTCTTTGGTATAATAAACAAGTTGTAAAAATGGTGGAAAAGTGGAGTGAAATCAGTTTTAAGCAACTTGTAAAATTGGGTAGAACATTTCAGTGTAAATTTTAGCGGCTTCTCAAATGAGCCAAAACTACTTCAATGGGCTAAAAAGGGTTACTGCGAAAACAAATCGTAAATTTAAGCGTCAACTTCATTTTTAGCTGCTTCTCAAATGGGCAGAAGAATTCAGTGGGCTAAAAACAAGGCCTAAATTGCTAACAAGAATTGCAAACTACTTACAGCGTCAAAATTAAATTAAAAAAAATTTCTTTAAAATTTTTTCGTATAATTTTTGCCCGAGTTGTATTGATACGCCAATTGTTACTTGTACTCAAAATCGATTTACTCGCCTTATTTGAGCGCCTGTCGAATATAAGAGTAAATAGATAATGGAGAAGAGGACACACTAGTTGGAGATGTATAGCCTGGGTGGGGGGGGGGGGGTGTTGTTATCGCATCATTGATTTAAAATCTGACAATTTAGATTTACCTGGTTATGTTTTATGGCGCAACTTAATTTTCCCAATCTAGCTGAAAGTTAAGGAAATTAGTTGAAAATTACCTATTTGTCTTTCTTCAGTCGAGTGACTGGGTGTGGTAATTTCTACTGATTCATAAAGTGCTCGTTTAAATTACCCAAAAGCTTCCGTTTTTTTTGTTTTCTAGTTAATTAACTATTTTTAGTTGACCGTTTGAACCGCCATCTAGACGAAAGGCTAAATTGTTTAAAAATTTTCAATCGATCTTGTTTCTTTTATTGTTTTTTTTTCTACTCGAAGAGCTCAGAAAAACTTTTTTATTTGAACTTTTTCAAGACATGAATATTGAATATAAAAGTGTATTATCGGCAAAAAACGCAAACATCCCATAAGCTAATTCAGTTTTTCAGGAAGTTTCAGCAAATTTTTTCTTTTACCCGAGAAAAATATAGAACCGCTCATCTATACATGTGCTTTGAGGCCAATTGGGTTATCTAAAAGAGCACCCGAAATATCGCCCGCGGGTTTTGGAAATGGCGAAGGAAATGAATTTGGCAACTGACTCTGGATTGAAATAGAGATGGTAGAAAGAACGTGATATGGCAAACAATTAAAAACGAAACGGTAGTAAACCTGTCACTTTTTAATCACGCTGAGATCTTTTTTTGATCCAATTAGCCAAAGATAGTTTCACTATTTTCTAAGGAATTAGCCTCCGTGATATTTAATTGCTTCCCAATCAGCTTTTTCATCCTTTTCAAAAGATGTCTTAAACAACCATGACCGATAAAACACAATGGTCGTTGTCCAAAAAAAACTCGCATGAATAATTTTCCAGTGTAAAATTTCTTAAAACTGAAAAATGGATCCATTTTTACATTTCAATTTATTATGTCATCGAAAAACAGATATAAGCGAAATATGGTATGCCCTTTTGAGTGACTCTCAATCACCCGTTAAACACTGTAGTATAATGTTGTTCCAAATTTTGTAACGAAAGTAACAAAAATTTTGAGCTCGGGTTGGTTTTTTTTTCCTCTGACAAATTTCGACTTTTTGGATAGCCACTTTTGAAGGATTTTTTTTTAAATCATTCAAAATTTATTGTTGTGCTGAGCTTAAATTTGGAAGGATATTTCACCTGTGATCGTTTTTTGTAAAGTTATGAGGGTTTAAAGATTGTCATTTCGGCCAATTTTGGACAATTAACGAGCGATAAAATTCGCGCTAATAACGCGTAAGCAGAGGTTTAATCTGTCTTAGAAATCGATCAAAATTGATTAAAGGCTGCTCATTTGCCATAATTTTTTGTTCCGACTTTCGAAAAAAAACGGAATTTTTATGCTCAGTACGTTTTTTTTTTGTTTTGTCAATTTTCGCCGATCAAAATAATAGTTTTTGACAAAAATTTCTTATACCCCATTGAACAATCAACTTCCTGAGTTCAAATTTACAAGGATATTGTACCTCCAAATATTTTTGTAAAGTTCTGGTGGTTTGAAAATTGCCAAATTGGCCATGGTCTGGACTAAACGATGCGCGCTTTATCCCGCACTACAAAATCACTCTAAACTGAATTGAGGTTAACTAATCGGTATTAGTTTTGTACGACTCAACATTTCACACTTTGATTTTGTCCAAAATTTATAGATTTTCAATTTGTTGTTTTCCAAAAACTATTCGATACGAATTAAGAGACAGTCGGAACATTCTGGGCTTCGTTTTATTTTTATTACTTTTAATTTTTCCATGTTACTACTGCTTCATAGACCTTGAAAGCCTGTCAGAACCTTCATGGATTCGCCCTGATATGAGCAGTCTTGTGATGATTGATTTCTGAAATTTTTTATGAAAAAAAATGCATGAAAATTGTATGCTAATTCTCACTCAAGAAAAAAAAATCATTTTTCTGATGATCAGGAAGCTTCAAAAACGGCTTGTGTTCAAAGTCTTTGAAAACTTTTAAGGTTTGTATGAAAAAGATAAATAATAATTTAATATATATCCTTTTCATGCAAAATTGTTTAAAAAAAATTGTCTGTTCATCATTTTTGAAGTTTTCTGATCATCAAAAAAAGGTGTTTCGTCTGTTCGTTGTTTTTAAAGCTTTTTGATCATCGAAAAATGATGTTTAGTTTGTTCGTAGTTTTTGAAGCTTCCTGATCATCAAAAAATGTTTTGTTTTTGGATGAAAACTTGCGTACCATACAGTTTTCATGTATGGAAACTGTATGACTAGCACTTTTCCATAAAAAAGGAGAGGGGCATGTTATGGAAAACCTTTTTGTCAACTATAAATCACAGGGTGAGTTGAGGGAAAGGCTTGAAGGACCCAATTTGTCAACTATAAATCTTAATGGGAGGAAAGGGTTGGCATGAAAAACCTCATTTGTCAAATATAAATTACAGGAGGAAGAGGAGGGATGGCATGGAAACCCCATTTGTCATCTATAAATCACCTGGGCAGGATGGGTGGCATAGAAAACCCAATTTCTCAACTATAAATCATAGGGGAAAAGGTGATGGCATGGAAACCCCATTGTCAACTGTAAATCTTAGGGCAGTCTTAGGGCAGGAGGGGGGTGGCCCCGAAAACCCCATTTGTCAAATATAAATCACACGGGCAGGAGAGGGATGCGATGGAAAACCCCATTTGTCAAACATAAATCACCGGGAGAGGAAGAATGGCATGGAAAACCCCATTTATTAACTATAACTCACAATGGCAGGAGGGCAATGGTATGGAAAACCCCATTTGTCAACTATAAATCACAGGATGAGGAGAAGCGATGGCATGAAAAACCCAATTTGTCAACTATAAATCATAGGGCGAGGAGGGGGATGGCATGGAAAATCCAATTTGTCAACTTTAAATCCCAGAAGGAGGAGGGGGCATGGCATGGAAAACCCCATTTTTCAACTATAAATCACAGTGGGGAGTGGTTGGGGTATGGCATGGAAAATCCCATTTGTCAACTATAAATCACAGGGTGAGGAAGAAGCATGGCATGAAAAACCCCATTTGTCAACTATAAATCTCAGGGTGGAGAAGGGGGATGGCATGGAAACCCCATTTGTCAAGTGCAAACCATAGGGGAGGAAGGAGGATTTCATGGAAAACCCCGTTGTCACTTATACATCACAGGGACAGGAGAGAGGATGGCATGGGAAACCCCATTTTTCAATTTAAATCACAGGAGGAGGAGGGGTGGCATGGAAAACCCAATTTTTCAACTAGTTACCATAAGATGAGTAGCAGGAATGGCTTGGAAAACCCATTTGTCAACTATAAATTGCGGGAGAGTAGGGGGAAGGCTTGGAAAACCCCGTTTGTCTGCTATAAATTACAAGTGGAGGAGAGGGGATGGCATGGAAATTCCCATATGTCATTTTAAATTACAGGGGGTGGATGGGGGATGGCTTGGAAAACCCCATTTGTCAAGATAAGCTAAAGGTTTTCGGTCTTCCAAGCTTTGTCTTATATTACGGTAGACAAACAGTGGTCTCAATTTAAGTAAAAACTAGGTTCCAGTCAAAACTAATTTTTGTTGCGGATTTCGTAACAAAAGTAACGGAATATTTGTGCTCGGTTTTTTTTTCTTCAGACAAATTTTGACGTTGTAACTAGCCTTTTTTGACAAAATTTTTCAAAATCATTCAAAAGGTATTGTTGTCCTAAGCTTAAATTTGAAAAGATATTTTACCTGTGATTATTTTTTGTAAAGTTATGGGGTTTTAAAGATTGCCGTTTTGTCTATTTTGGGACAATTGACGCGCGATCTATTTCGCGCTATTAACGCGTGAGTGAAGATTTAATCTGTCTTAGAAATTGTTCCGATATGGTTGCAGTAAGCTTATTTGCCTTTATTGATTTGTTACTAGGAGTGAAACCTATCACTTTGTTTTTTATATGGCGGGGAATTTTACCTTAATTTTTTTTTTCGTTTTATGTTATTAAATTTTATGTTTACATGTTATTACTGCTCCATAGACCTCAAAAAGCAATCGGAAAAATCAGGGCTTTGTCTTGGTACGAGCACATTTTTGTAACTTTAGCCGAACTGTTGCAACCGATCATAATCTCTTTTTCTACTGCAACCTCAGTCCTGGTGAACTTTCTCAGTAATTTCAGTTTAAAAGAAGCGCTCTGAGCAAAATCCGGCTTTATATTTGATTTATTATCTTGCAATTGAACCCATCTTGCAAAACAGGAAGTCGGAACAAAAAATGAAGGTCAAAAGTGGTGTCAATGTTATGAAAAATTTGCAGCCAAATGTAAACTTAAATAAATAAATCAAAAGTTGACAAAATTTGTTTTCACATGGCGGAGTAAGTAGTTGGTACAAAAATAGCAAATTATAGCAAGGATAGCGTTTATGGTACTAATAGCACAAAGTTTTCCGAACATAGTTCTAAGAAAATGCAACAAAGTTTTTTCAAATTATTGTCTTATTTTTTCGACGAGGTGTGATCAAAGAGCTGAACAAAAAACTAGGGATTAGTTATATTCGACAGCCATACTAAATAGGCAAATTAAAAATCAATTTTTGTAGAAAAATTACTAACGAAAAAATTTTGAAAAAAATTGTAGTTTTTGAATTTTTGAAAATTTTGATTCTCGCTCGAAATAAGACGTAAAATTAAATATTTCAAGCCAGTTTTTCTTGACACTAAGAATTTTATTTTGAAATTTTTAAATGTTCTTCAAATCACTACTGTAAGGGTTTTAATAAGATATATCACTCAACCCAGTCCGATGATTATTTATGGTACCTGATTTTGCATGGAAAACTAAAAGAAAAAAAAACTAAAACCGACCCGAATACAAAGTTCCTCCCCAAGTAATCAAAAAATTATTTTAATAAAAACGCAGAATACGGTACAAGACAATTTTTTGCATAATGACAAACGGTCATAAATGATGGTTGCATAAAACAAATACAAGTGGTTAATTTTTTTGACTTCTGATGATAATTGAAGATGAAAAGTCATGTTGACTATAATGCTTACTGAAAGTTAAGCCCAAAACTTTTATTTTATGATGTGTCACCAAGCTTTAATTATTACTTTTCTCTGCTTTTTGCTCATTTTAAACCCTGCAGTTTTTGCAGAGAAAATTTCTGAAGACGCTGTTTCATTCAAAAACTCGAGCGACATGCCATATTTTGTCAAAATTCACAGAATAGACACAGAACCATCTTTTTCACTGAACTTTTGTGCAGGTACAAGAATCAGCGCTAATTTTGTTCTGACTGCTGCGGCTTGTGTCACGAATACAGATTATGCGAATGATACGAACCCTGCTGTATACATTTCACACCTAGGAACAGGAGCAGAGAATGGAAATGGAGCGGCAAAAGTCACCAAAGTGAATGGGCCGTTCCATATTTCAGATGACAAGTACGTCTGTTAAATTACATTTCTTTCTTATTTAAGTAATCGCTATGGATTTTTGAAATGCTACATTAGTATTGAATGTGTCAGCGCAGAAGCATTCTTTTTAGATCGAGCTCGCCCAAATCGTGAAACACTTTGTTTTGCCAATTTTTTTTACACCGAAGTATCTTTGAGAACGTATCAATTTTGCTTTTTGGACACTTCTTGGAATTGTTGTATCGGCTAAAAATTTAGGCTCCTTAAGTAATATATTTTTTCTTTTACTACTCTAGTAACTAATTTTACTGCTACT